GGGGAGGGGATGAATGCATGGGGAGGGGATGAATGCATGGGGAGGGGATGAATGCATGGGGAGGGGATGAATGCATGGGGAGGGGATGAATGCATGGGGAGGGGATGAATGCATGGGGAGGGGATGAATGCATGGGGAGGGGATGAATGCATGGGGAGGGGATGAATGCATGGGGAGGGGATGAATGCATGGGGAGGGGATGAATGCATGGGGAGGGGATGAATGCATGGGGAGGGGATGAATGCATGGGGAGGGGATGAATGCATGGGGAGGGGATGAATGCATGGGGAGGGGATGAATGCATGGGGAGGGGATGAATGCATGGGGAGGGGATGAATGCATGGGGAGGGGATGAATGCATGGGGAGGGGATGAATGCATGGGGAGGGGATGAATGCATGGGGAGGGGATGAATGCATGGGGAGGGGATGAATGCATGGGGAGGGGATGAATGCATGGGGAGGGGATGAATGCATGGGGAGGGGATGAATGCATGGGGAGGGGATGAATGCATGGGGAGGGGATGAATGCATGGGGAGGGGATGAATGCATGGGGAGGGGATGAATGCATGGGGAGGGGATGAATGCATGGGGAGGGGGAATGCATTGTTCCCAATAGCTCTAAACGCCTATTTTAGCACAATAGCTCACAATAGCACAACGCCTCAGTTTTGGGAAACTGAGGCGTTGGTATCGTCACAATAGCTCTCCATCTCCATTGCAGAGAGGGTATTTTTGAGACGTCTCAAAAATACCCTCTCTGCCTGAGGCGTTGGTACCGTAATAATACCTCTCCATCTCCATTGGTCCATTTTCTAAGCTCAAGTGTTTTCTTTACGTCTGCTTACCGTTCAAATGTTTTTTTCCCCTGTTTATCCCTTCTTTTTTACTCCCACCCACCCACTCCCTCTCTCTTCCTCCCATCCGCCTGTTCTGTCCATCCATGGTCTCTCGTGTGATTGTATGCCATTGTGATTGTATGCAGGTGGACCCTCAGGACATAGTCATGGTATGTCATCATCCCTCATCCGCCATTTGTCATTGCTTTTCCTACCTCATCCGACCCTCCTATGCTGCACTATGCCATGCCATGCCATGCCATGCCATCACATCACAGTGGTTCTTAGTGAAGCAAGACGGCGATTCTTTAGGCGCCTATAAAATTGTCTCTTCTTGCGACACCTCAACAAATTCCCATCCTATGCTGCACCATACCATGTCATCGCAGTGGTTCTGAATAACTATGCTAGTTCTCGCACTTGATTCACTCACAAGCATGCCCTTCCCGCCCGCGCCCATCTCACCCTCCCAACAACACGACACCAGCTAATTTTATTGACTTTTGAGTCGACTCAAAAGTCAACTCGCCCGCGCCCATCTCACCCTCCCAACAACACAACACCAGCTAATTTTACTATTATGGCACTTCAATGCGGTTTTGAGACGTCTCAAAACACGTCCATCTCACCCTCCCAACAACCCGGCACCAGCTAATTTTATTATTATGGCACTTCAATGCGGCTGCAATGAGTGAATACTTCAAGCAGGAAATGTGAATTACTATACTGCTGCTTTTTGTGAATTCTTAAAAAAAAAAAACTGATTCAGCTTGGGCCATCCCCTGGGATCTCCTCCTCCCGCTCCTTCCTCCCCGCACCCCTCCGTGTGCAGCTGATACTATCGTGGCACTTCAAGGCAGCAACGATGTGTGAATACTCCAAGGAGGAATTTGTACAAGGCATGCAACGACTGGGGTGAGTAATCAGGTGACTTTTGACTTTTGAGTCGACTCAAAAGGTGACTTTTGACTTTTGAGTCGACTCAAAAGTCACTTCAAGGCAGCAACGATGTGTGAATACCCCAAGGAGGAATTTGTACAAGGCATGCAACGACTTGGGTGAGTTTGGCATGGCGGAGAAATTGGGGGTGAGAGTGAGTGGGGATGAGGACTCAAGTTTGGGGCTTGGGTGCGGAACAGCAGAGAGAGCCGACTTGCATTATCAGCGCCCTATCAACTCCCTATCAACTCTCTCCGTTGTTTCCCTCTCCTCCTTGCAGGGTCAGCAGCTTGGGCAAGCTCAAGGCACGGTTGCCGGCACTACGATCAGATTAGCCCTATCAGAACCCACCCTGCCGGATTTTGTCTGCGGTGTATCAACGCTCTCGCTTCTTCCTCCTGCCTCTCGCCCTGTCTCTCCTTGCAGGGTCAGCAGCGTGGCCGAGCTCAAGGCGCGGTTGCCAGCACTGCGATCAGAAATCAACGATGACCGTGAGTGCAACAGACACTCCCTTGCAAAGGCTCTTAAGGGAGGGGTGGAAAGGGGGAAGGGAAGGGGGAAAGGGACGGAAGGGTGGAAGAGGGGGGGGGGGAAGAAATGGCGTGACGTTTGGGGTTATCGGTATTTAGTAGGATGGAAGGGGTAGGAAGAGGAGATGGAGGGAACGGGTGATCTTAAATGTTTGGCTTCACGTGTGTGCATGTTGCTTGTTGCTTCTGGTGTCTTTGCGGTTGTCACATTTGTTGTAGTGTTTGTTGGGCGTGGTTATGGGTATGGGCATGGGCAAGGGCCATGGGGCATGGGGCATGGGGCATGGGGCAAGGGGCATGGGCATGGGCATGGGCATGGGCATGGGCATGGGCATGGGGCATGGGGCATGGGCATGGGCATGGGGCATGTGCATACTGCCAATGCAGATAAATTCAGGGAGATTTACAACTTCTCCTTCGACTGGGCAAAGGAGAAGGTCAGTGTTGGACTTGTTTCAACTTGAAACTTTCAAGTCCCTGTAATTTTCCGGTTTGGTCATGTCATCGGCATCGGCATCCATCCCTCAGTTCTCACACCTGTCTGGCGTTTGACACGGTCATAGACATGTGGCGGGTATTGGTCACTGCGGCTGCTGTCTCTGCTGCTGCTCACACCCTACATACCCATCTGTCATCTCACTTCCTACCTGCAGGGTCAGAAGTCTCTAGCATTCGAACACAGCCATAGGCATGTGGCAGCTGCTGTTCACTGCTGCTGCTCACACCCCTCATCCATCATCTCCATTTCCCCCCTAGCGCATGGCCATATGTCGTTCACCTCCTGCATTCATGGTGACTTTTGAGTCGACTCAAAATGTTCACTGCTGCTGCTCACACCCCTCATCCATCATCTCCATTTCCCCCCTCGCTCGCGCATGGCCACCTGTCCTTCACTTCCTACCTGCAGGGTCAGAAGTCTCTAGCATTTGACACAGCCATAGGCATGTGGCAACTGCTGTTCACAGCACGGCCATGGCGATTCGTCGACCATTGGTGTGAATACCTCCAGGTAGGTAGGCAGATTATTGTGAGTCCCCGTCGGTAAGTATAATACTGTGAGTACCTGCTGGTAGGGTTGTTTGTGCAAGTACCAGCTGTTAATACAGTCACAGGTAAGGCAGTGTTAGTTTTATCGTCTGGAAGAGTGGACCAATTTTGGTTGTCAAGGTGTTTCGAGCCCATTGTTCCCTTCCCACTCTTCCCTGCTTACTCCAATTCCGCGTCCCGTTCTCCCTCACCCCAATCTTCTATTGTCCATTTCCTGGAGCTGTTGTGCGTGCGCATTTCTGCTGGACCTGAGGGTTGGTGCAATTCATTCATCTCATTTCTGCTTCTTCCGCTCCCCACTCCGCCAACCCTCCCTCTTTCCAGGGCAAGAACGTTGGCGGAGTGGGTCCACCCCTCCCCTCATTTAAGCATGGCAAGAACGTTTCTCGTCGCCTAATCCTTTAGTGCTTGCACCCTCCAATCCCTTCCACCCTGGCCCACACTCTCCGCTCCGCACCGCCCCTCTCTCTGTCAATCCGCAGATGAAACACAACAAGGCCATTTCTCGAGACACATGGCAGCAGCTATTAGAGTTTACCAAGGTAAGCTGCCATTTTCTTTCATTGAAGTTTCCAAGCTGATTGGTCTTAGCCAACCCTCCTGTCCGCCTCCATCCTATCTGCCTCCACCTTTGCTGCCGCCATCTCATTGCATTCTGTGTCTCACCCACAGGATGCAATGAGACACATCTCTTCCTGTGATGAGGTTGTTTTTGAGACGTCTCAAAAACAACCTCATCACTGTGTCACACCCACAGAATGCAATGAGACACATCTCTTCCTGCCGCCACTCCCACCCATCATGCCCCTTCCTCTGCAGATCACCGATCCATCGCTCTCATCATACGATGAGGAGGGTGCATGGCCATACCTCGTGGACGAGCTTGTTTCTCACCTCAGGTATTGAGGATGACCAAAGTGATTCTTACCTTCCCATATTTAAAGGCGCCTCCCCCCATTCCCAACCCCGCAACCCCCAACTCCCCCACCAACCATCCTCTGCAGATCACCGACCCATCGCTCTCGTCGTACGATGAGGAGGGTGCATGGCCATACCTCGTGGACGAGTTTGTGTCGCACCTCAGGGAATCAGGAGTGGTGCCTAGCAAGCCCGACGCCGCTTAGCAATTCACCACTCCCTCCTCTCAGCGCTCCTATCATCACTGTCCCTCTCATCACCGCTCCCGCCATATCTCGTGGATGAGTTTGTGTCACACTTGAGGGAGGCAGGAGTGGTGCTCAGCAATCCCGGCGTCGCTTATCCCCTCATTTTTCTCACTGCTCCGCTCACTGCTGCTCTCAAAACAGTGAACCTTTGCAGGGAAATGTGTTAATTGCAGCGTAAGCTCCAAGGCAGCATGCCTCTCAGATTCCTTTGTTCCCGCATTGTCTTGTCATCCAAAGATGAAAATGTGTTTGATCAAATATCCTCTTACAGCATGAACATGCAGCTTGTACACTGCATCAATCTGTCGTACCAAATTGGTCAGCATTCGCTCATACGGTACGGTACATTTACCTAGTTGCCTGCAATCTACCTCAATTGCCCTGGATAAATTGCTCTCGTCTGAGCTGCTTGAAATCGCCATAGTATACAGTACTACACATTCACTTCTCGACTAAACAACACACGCTAACCTCTCGTATCTATTCCTGATCATCTGTGGGAAAGAACAAGTACGGCCCTGCCCAGGAAGCCATGGGCCTGTACCCAGCAATCAGCAGGGCAAAGCAGAGGGCAAGAGCAGCAGCAATCCCCGCTGTCTCCCCTGCTTGCACGGGCACACAAGCTAGCAACGACGCTGCTGCAGCATAGCTTGCCTGAGAGAGGCCCTCAGGAGAAACACCGCCAAAGCTGGCAGCAGCAACAGCAGCTGCAGCTGTGCACGCAGTTAAAGCCACCAGGCGCCTTTCCCTCGCTCCTTCCATTGCCCATTTCCTCTGGCCTTCCAGCTGTCCCTTACACTCTGTCCCTGTCTCTCCCTGTGTGCTCCTGCCCTTACTCTGCGCAGCCATATCTGCCACGCTGCGCTGAAGGTCGTCTGCGAATCGCCTGTGTGCTGCTCGTCTCATGGCTCGCTCAGTATCTTCAGAGGCTATTGGGCCCTTGAGTGGCGTCTCAACAGTGGCCTGCTGTGGGTCCTCTGTTGCTGATGTGCTCTGAACGGCATTGCTCTGGCAAGGAGTTGGACAAGGGGGAGACAAAGAGGTGTGGGCAAATAAAATACGCAACGAGTTCCGAGATTCCTCAAATGATGCATCTGATGAGGCACCTGATGAGGCACCTGATGAGGCACCTGATGATGTTCCAGAATTGAAAACAAAAATGCACCTTATGACCCATTGTTCCTGAAGAACAGATAGCCACCTGAGTGCTTGCTGGGGGAGAGACGACAACGGCATCGGGTGGCACCACCTGAGCCACCTGAAGATACTCCTGAACGTCCAGAGGCCGCCCAAACTCCACAGTCACCCGTCTACGCTGGGGGATGGTGCGGCCCTTTGGCAGAGCTTCAAAGGTGCCCTGTGTGGGTAGCAGTTGGAGCATGGGTAGAAAGAGGAGAGCAAGGGGGTTGGAACATAAAGCATACACGTTCAGAGACCACCCAAACTCCACACCCACTTTTTTATGTAGGGGGGTGGTTGGACCATGCGTTCAGAGACCCTTGAAATTAGTGGCCCATTCACTCACTCGCTCACTCACTCATTCAAGACACCAGTGCCCACCTGGACGCACGACAGGCAAATCCAGCTGCTCTGCCAGCCGCTCTGCCAGCTGCTCTGCCAGCTGCTCTGCCAGCTGCTCTGCCAGCTGCTCTGCCAGCTGCTCTGCCAGCTGCCCCACGCCTGACTTGAAGGGCTGCAATGCACCAGTGAGGGAGCGTGTGCCCTCGGGGAATATAAGCACTGCTGTGTGTACAGGCGCTCCCTCTCACACTCATTCAGACACCAGCGCTCACCTTGACGCACACAGGCACAACAGGCACGTCCAGCTGCTGTGCCAGCAGCCCCACGCCTGCAGTGAACCAGTGAGGGAGCGCGTGCCCTCGGGGATTAATGGTACTGCTATGCTAACTGTACGGGCGCTCTCACCTGCACGCACACAGGCACCACAGGCACATCCAGCTGCTCTGCCAGCAGCCCCACGCCTGACTTGAAGGGCTGCAGCGCGCCAGTGAGAGAGCGAGTTCCTTCGGGGAAGATGAGTACCGCTGTGGGGCGGTGGGGGCCGCTGGTGGCCTTGAGCTGCAATAGTGTGTCGAGCTGGTGGTGGGAGGGAGAGAGGTGGGGGGAAAGGAGTTAGGATGAGGGAGAGAGAGGGAAACGAGAGCAAGGAGGGGAAGATGAGCACCGATGTGGGGCGGTGGGGGCCGCTGGTGGCCTTGAGCTGCAGCAGCATGTCGAGCTGGTGGTGGGAAAGGGAGGGAGGGAGGAAAAAGGGTATGGTAACGGAGAAAGAGGGGAAGATGAGCGCTGCTGTCGTTTTTGAGGCGCCTTAAAAACGACCTCAGGGTAACGGAGAACGAGAGGAAGATGAGCGCTGCTGTGGGGCGGTGGGGGCCGCTGGTGGTGAGGTGAGTGATAAGGTTGTGGGAGAGAGGGCGACAGGAGGACAGAGAACAGGATGACAGGAGTGTAGAGGAGGGTCAATGAGGTGACTTTTGAGTCGACTCAAAAGGACGACAGGAGTGTAGAGGAGGGTCAATGATGATAGCAAGTAGGGAATAATGAGCACTGCTGTGGGAGCAACGGGGCTCCATTGCTGTGGGAGAAACGGGGCATCCTATTTGTCCACATCCAATCCACTTGCACGTGGCATAGCTCCTGCATTCCAAGTGTGCGTGCACCATACCTCTTACATGTGCAAAGCAGCGTAGCTCTTGCATGTGTGTGTATGACACACAGCATACATGCCATACCTCTTGCTGGGAGAACTTGCGGCGGTTGATGGGGATGACATGCATGCATGTGGTGACGAACCATGCCTGGTGGAAAGACGAGGGGTGGGAGTGATGAAGGGTGGGAGTGATGAAGGGCGGGAGGGATGAGGAAGACAGACAGTTGATGGGGATGACGTGCATGCATGTGGTGACGAACCATGCCTGGTGGGGTGGGAGGGATGAGGAAGAAGGATGGTTGATGGGTGGGGATGACGTGCATGCACGTGGTGACAAACCATGCCTGGTGGGGTGGTAGAGGTAAGGCAGACAGGTGGGAGAGGTAAGGCAGACAGGTGGTCCATGAGAAAAGCGTGCATGAATGCGGTATCAAACTATGTTTTTTTAGAACTCTCAAAAAACATTAGCGTGCATGAATGGGGTATCAAACCATGCCTGGTGTATCAGGGATGAAAACGACAGTGCCAAGTATCCGCCATTCTCAGCCAGTGAACTGCCAGCCATCTCTACCAAAAAGGCGATTTTATCCTGTGATCCCAGAGTATACAACTTCCTGACAGTCTTTGCCATGAGAGCTGACAGAAACGTCGCTCTATTAGGGACTAAGAGTGCAGTGCATGACTGTCACCCGTGCACCCAGCTCACGACCATCACCCATGCTTTGAGACGATCCAGAACTCGATTGCCAAGTGTGCATCAGTCTCGGCGCATGAACTACTTGTCAACTTTTGAGACGTCTCAAAAGTGCAGTGCATGACCATCACCGGCGCACCCAGCTCACGACCATCACCCATGCACCCATGCTCTGAGACGACCCAGAACTCGATTGCCAAGTGTGCATCAGTCTCGGCGCATGAACTACTTCTGCGCCAGCAGAAGTTCAGTGGGGGGTTGCTGAAGAAGTAGTCCCGAGAGACGCGTGTTCTACAAGTTCAGTGTCACGCGTGTTCCAGCTACAGGCAGCCAGCCGCCATCCCTACCAGCAGGGGGTTGCTGAAGAAGTAGTCCCGAGCACCCAGAGCATACACCCGCTTGGTTTCTGTCTGAAAAGAGAGCATCTATGAGGAGTGAAAGTACAGTGCTAGGTGTGTGTCAGTTACAGCCAGCCAGCTGCCATCCATCCTACCAGCAGGGGGTTGCTGAAGAAGAAGTCCCGAGCACCCAGCGCATACACCCGCTTGGTTTCTGTCTGAAAAGAGAGCATCTATTAGGAGTGAAAGTACAGTGCTAGGTGTGTGTCAGTTACAGCCAGCCAGCTGCCATCCATCCTACCAGCAGGGGGTTGCTGAAGAAGTAGTCCCGAGCACCCAGAGCATACACCCGCTTGGTTTCTGTCTGAAAAGAGAGCATCTATGAGGAGTGAAAGTACAGTGCTAGGTGTGTGTCAGTTACAGCCAGCCAGCTGCCATCCATCCTACCAGCAGGGGGTTGCTGAAGAAGTAGTCCCGAGCACCCAGAGCATACACCCGCTTGGTTTCTGTCTGAAAAGAGAGCATCTATGAGGAGTGAAAGTACAGTGCTAGGTGTGTGTCAGTTACAGCCAGCCAGCTGCCATCCATCCTACCAGCAGGGGGTTGCTGAAGAAGTAGTCCCGAGCACCCAGAGCATACACCCGCTTGGTTTCTGTCTGAAAAGAGAGCATCTATGAGGAGTGAAAGTACAGTGCTAGGTGTGTGTCAGTTACAGCCAGCCAGCTGCCATCCATCCTACCAGCAGGGGGTTGCTGAAGAAGTAGTCCCGAGCACCCAGAGCATACACCCGCTTGGTTTCTGTCTGAAAAGAGAGCATCTATGAGGAGTGAAAGTACAGTGCTAGGTGTGTGTCAGTTACAGCCAGCCAGCTGCCATCCATCCTACCAGCAGGGGGTTGCTGAAGAAGTAGTCCCGAGCACCCAGCGCATACACCCGCTTGGTTTCTGTCTGAAAAGAGAGCATCTATGAGGAGTGAAAGTACAGTGCTAGGTGTGTGTCAGTTACAGCCAGCCAGCTGCCATCCATCCTACCAGCAGGGGGTTGCTGAAGAAGTAGTCCCGAGCACCCAGAGCATACACCCGCTTGGTTTCTGTCTGAAAAGAGAGCATCTATGAGGAGTGAAAGTACAGTGCTAGGTGTGTGTCAGTTACAGCCAGCCAGCTGCCATCCATCCTACTAGAAGGGGGTTGCTGAAGAAGTTGTCTCGAGCACCCAGAGCATACACCCGCTTGGCCTTGAAGCCAACCAAGCTGACTGGAATGATACCCTATGGATACACTGTCGTGTGTTTCAGTAACAGGCGGTCAATTTCCATCCCTGCCTACCAGAAGGGGGTTGCTGAAGAAGTAGTCCCGAGCACCCAGCGCATACACCCTCTTGGCACCACCCGTCCACGCACCCACAAATGTGGCCCCGCAATCCAAGTGGCTCTGAGGAAATGCAGGGATGTTGTCAGAAGCACCCAAAAAAAAAAAAAAAAAAAAAAAAAAAAAAACAAGTTGAGGATGGCGAAGCAGACAGAGGCAAAACATGATCCTTGCAGTCTTTTTATATTTATATGCATGTATATTTTTATATAAAGGATAGTAACAGATGGACTGCAGAGTGAGATAACAGCAGAATGGCACCCACCGAATGATTGCATGCCATGAAGAACATGCCACGATCCAATGGCAGATTGTCCGTGCCACGTGTCTCCTGGTCATTGGCACGTGCAACAAGGGAATGAGTCAGTAATCATACCGCTGCACACACTTGCAAACTGCTAGCATAAAACTCCCCCGAGCCACCCAGCCTCTTCCTACAGTCACACGCAATATGACCCAATAGTCAGACTCACCTGAACCACACCTTTTCGATAATCACACGCACACCCAGTTGTGCAAGCCACCTTTTCCCTATGCTCCCTCACAATGAAAAAAAAGAAGAAAAGAAAAACCTTCTCCCTGAAACCACACTCACCTGAGCGAACCAGCTCTTGTACAGCCATCTCCCCCACAGCCAAAACAGCCGCTCCACCACCACCCCCTCCTTGCTAATGCTGTATCCATCAACCACCAAGTCATCCTTATTGTCAACGTAATCAGTGCTGGTAACCAGCTTTTTTCTATAATCACACTGACCTGAGCGAACCAGCTCTCGTACAGCCATCTCCCCCATAGCCAGAACAGCCGGTCCACCACCCCCTCCTTCCCAATGCTGTATCCATCAACCACCAAGCCATCCCCATCCGCCGACGTAACCCGTGCTGGTAACCGGGATCGATTCTTTCGCGCCTGCCGAATCAATCTCGCCTGTATTCGCCTCTGGAGGCTTCGAGGGGGGCTTCTCCTCGTGCTTGTGCCCCTGGAAGGAACTCCAGATTCGCCGGTCTTTTCAAGGTCTCCTTTTTTTAGCTCCACAATCGCTGGAGACTCACTGATCGTTCCATTATCAACGGTTTTTCCCGGCTCTACGCTCGTGGAAATATCGAGTCTGCTAGAACTCTCTCGTTCGCCTGCTAGAACTTTCTTGTCGGAGCTTTCGCCTAGAGCGTATCTCTCTGCGTTTGCGATGGAGACGCCTGACGTTGACGGAAGCTGGTCGCTGACGTTGACGCTAACGGGAGAAAGCGCTCCGTTACAGTCAGGTTTGCTCGTTCGAGCATCGGAGACGGGATGCAGGTTCCGTGGGGGATGTTTCTCGCTGGTGCGTACGTCAACCAGCCGGGCATGCGTAAGCCTTGGTGGAAATCTAGCAGCGGTTCTGTCCGTTTTAGCTAAAATGCAGATGCTTGAACTGCGTACCACAAAATGAGGAAGAGGAAGCGACGACATTAGGACCAGGAACGTAAAACTGGGATACTTGGTCGTTAACTTCTGGTTCGTTTCAGGCCACACTAGGACCAGCAAATGCGACGAATGCAGAAAGCCGACGGTCTATTACCAGGCAAAAAAGACACGAGCGGAACTAAGTTATGAATGTGCGAGGTATAAAGCCGTCATCAGCGAAGAAACTCGGTTTCTACATCTCTGGTACCAGCCATTCCATTATGGCAGAACGAATCTTGCACTTCTGTGCCGTCCGGTTTTGCCAGTGGGAAGGGCGTGTCTGACAAAGTCCAAATGTGGCTCAATGGTGTTTGATACGATCTTTAGCGGTTTATAAACAAAACAATATGGTTTGGGAGGGTATTTTCCCCCTGACAGTTCCCAGGGAGCTGCGCGGGGATCCCAGGGAGCGATTTGTCAAGGAAGCCAGGGACTTGGTGCGGAACGCCTTGGCACGGCACGGTTTGGTTCGGGACGGCTCAAAAGCACTCACCGATCCCAGGGAGCATTTTTGGGCGCCAAAGCAGATTCCCCGCAGCCAAGCGCAAAACCCGTCGTAAGCAGCAGTCGTCAACCAGCGAGTGATACTTGTGCAAGCGATGAAAGGAACGGCTTCGATGCACCTGAAGGCTTTCTTGGAGCAATCGCAGGGAAGACGTCGCCCGAATCCCTCCGCGAAAACCCGTTCGCCCCTGCGGGTTTTTCGTAGCGGGGCACGCGAGGGGCGGGAGCCGACCCCTCAGCCCGCCCAAAACGAGCCCCGCCAGCTCGGAGTGGTCCCCGCACGAGCTGGCGATGACGCCAGCTGCTCCCCCACGTCCGTCGAGGAAATCCGCCTCCGTCGACGGCTTCCGTCTAAACTCGACGGAAAGTGCTGCAGAGAAAGTGTGGCAGTAACGCGCCACAGAGCAGTTCGATACAGAGCACAGCTGCAACTGAAATAAGAGCGTATACGTAAAATAAATAAATACATAAACTGCAATGAGCAAACTTGATAAGGAATAGGAGGCCCTGAGAAACAAGGGCAATCCCTAAAATTCTTCTTAACTATCACCAACTTTAATATTATTCACGCTTCATAACTGTAAAAAAATGTTTCCGTCCATATCGTCGTTTCAATAATTGTTAACATCTCCATTGACGTTGGATTATGCACTCGGCTGCACATTTGTCAGCTTGATACTCTTACTGAAAATCATTGAATACCCAGGCCTGAATCAGAACAAATAACAACAATATGATACAGTAGTATACGAAGGAGGTGCAGGTAGACGGTCGCACCGCTAGACACATAACGCAGATGCGAGGTAGAACATGTGTCGACGATTTCGCTATCAGTGCGCCATAGAGCAAGTGATGATGTTCTGCAGGTCGTCTTTTCTAAGACGTCCTGGGCGACTTTCGCTCAGAAGCCGGGTATTGCAGTCGAGTAACTTTCATCGCATGGCTCGACGCTGCTTGGTCGAACAACGTTCGCCGAGACCAGTTCGTCGAGCAACGCACGTCGAGCAGTGCCCATCGAAGGGCCCCGTCGACCACTATCGTGCACTAGCAATGCCCATCGATGTCGTCGACCGGATTTCGTCGAGCAGAGCCTGCGTTAGCGTGATGCACTAGCAATTCCATACGCGTTAGAGCGCGCCGATGTCGACATAGATGTTGCGTTGATACGACATAAAACGAGATGTTGTCGAAGACAGTCAGGCGACGAATAATTGTCATATGTGAAGTACCGACCTTTTCAGGTATTGTAAAGACCATACAGAATTAGAAAGTTGGAGCTTGTTGAATATAATGATTTTTTTTTCCAACTGTTCCCTACCTTGAAAATAATCTGGTCCTTTTGATGGGATAGGAAAATGCAGTTGTCAAACTCTACTGCGACAACAGCATTGCTTATGTCGATTGTACGCGTTCACGACGTGTATTAACGTATTGTAAAACTCGAGCGTTGTTGATTAGTTATGTGATCGTGAGTCTCGATGCCACAAAGAGAAATGAAACGGGTTGCAGGCGACGGTAGATATGCTTGGTCGAGTGTTACAAACGTCTCGACCGTTTTGCCCTTTTCCGTCAAAATCTTTCTTTTTGACAAATGGGGAGAATGCGCAGCTCGACAACTTCCGCGTCGAATACAGATGTTGACAACCAAAATCTAGAAACGCCCTCTGCTGTCGATTATTTATTTCATCGAACAGCGTCTCGATAAATCTTTTTTCCCGAGTGTGAAATCGGAACCATATCGAATGAGTTTCCCTGTTCGACAGAAAGTAATGCAGTACTGTTTCGACAAAAATGTGAAAGTGTAGGGGCAAAGTTTTTCAATGTGCTTTGTCGAAACGTCTAGCAAGATCCTTAAATATTGTCGAACATCCCGGAAGCACATCTTGTCGAACATCACATTTGAGTTTTCGTCGAAGGAAAAATATTTGCCGCGAATTTGAAATGTTGTCGAAGGCGATACACCCTTTTAATGCCGACTAGGGCTCTGTCGAAGACCGAAAATCGCAGAACTGAAGTATAAACGCCCTTCCGTCGAGAATTGACACATTTTCGACGGAAATACCCCTTCCGTCGAGAACAAAATGTCTGCACAAAAAGTAACAATTGTATATTAATTTTTAGGGCCTTTGCTTGGCTGATATTTTGTGTTACGAAACATTTTTTTAATTCTACAATGGTATATCGAGTTGTCTCTCGTCGAGCCCCATCAATTTCTACAGTTACGGCTGGCATATATATTGTCATAAGAATACGACATTGAACCCGCGGGTTTCGGAGGGTTTTTTGGCCTGGTCAGCCGGGAATTTTCGGGGGCCCGGAGGGATTCCGCGGGTTTTTCTTTTTTCCTCGGATCCCATTTGTGCCAGGGCGGGCGGGGCGGCATGTGATGACGTCACCCGTGTGTATATAATAGGGAAAACAATTAGGACGCGGCACATGTTTTGTCTTTTCCAAGATCGAGGGGGATCGAAGCCCGTACACCGATTCTCCCACATCGACCGGCACATCGATGTGCACACACTGCAAATTTGCAGTGTGATGGACACGCCGAGCCATGGGTGCCAGGATCGAAATTGCAGGGTCGAGCAGGTAGGACCCGCAGCGAAATACACCAGAAACTTAGTCGTTAACCATTCAGAGCAAAGCACAGCGGGTCGTTATCCAATCATTTTTCGCCTGCAACCGTAGGCGACGCCGATCGATCGCGGCTGTCACCTGTGGCGCGATGTGCCCTACCGCCAACCCAAACGCACGGTCGATATGTGCACTAGTGCACATCGAACGTGCAGGCTGCGGGTGCTGCTACGATCAGAGAATGATCGCTTACCAGGATCTACTCGGGAAGGTTCGCACACAGGGAAATGTAGTTGGTGGGCCCGTGACCTCAATAGCAGAGTGAATGTAAATGCTTGAGATGATTAAAACATGCAAATACAGCAAGTATAAATATGAGTACAGGGAAGACGAAACGACCTAGCTAGCCATGTACTCTAAGGGGTACATTCCCTTATTCAAACGCATTCTCAACCGTGCGGCGCGTACAGTTTCAACTGTTCCCGCCGAAACCATCCTGCCTGCAGCTGCTCGATGCCGTCTGCTCCGACGGTCCAGATGCGTCCCAACTGTCTGACACTTCGAGTCAAACTCCAACCGTCTGACGGTTCGCGTTCTTGCTTCGATACTGCGTGCTTCTCTTTGCTGCGGTGAGGAGTGCTCAGTAACAATTAAATGTTACTATTCGTAACACCCCCCTTCACTCCTGGCCGTAGCTTAATTTGACCTGCTTGACCACGCCGCTGAGTTCGGAGCAGTGCTGATACTGCTGGCGTGGTAGTCGCTTCGTGAGGAAGTCCGCTGCCATGTCACCGGTCGGGCAATAGGTCAAGTTGACCTTGCCCTTGTCCACTTCGTCCTTCACGAAGAAATATCGCAGCGCAATGTGCTTGGTGCGATTGACGAAACCAGGTTTGTTCGCGATGCGAATCGCGCTCTGGTTGTCGCAGTGAAGTCGAAAAGTTGGCGAAGCTGGAATTTTCGCCTCCTGCGGGAGTTCCTGTAGGTAGAGGCCATCGCAAACTGCTGCGGTTGCTGCGATGAATTCTGCTTCGGCTGACGACAGGGCAACCAGCTCCTGCTTCTGTGAGTTCCAGGAGATTGGCCCCGTTGGTTCGAGTCGGAACAGGAAGCCGGTCCTGGACCGTCGATTGTCGGGATCTGCTGCATGATCGGCATCCACATAGCCGACGAGATTGAAGGATGGGGTTGGTGCAGTTGAGTAGCACAGCCCAATCTTGGGCGTTGAGACGAAAAATTGCAAAGCGCGCTGCAGGTCCAGGTGATTTTCAGCCGTTGGTTTCCGTGAGTACTGGGCAAGCTGACTTGCGATGTAGGAGAGGTCTGGCCTGCAGGTGACAGAGGCGAAGAGGAGGCATCCCAGCTGCTGCTGGTAAGTCTGAATTCCAGCAGGGGATAGGGCTTTGTTGTCAGGTTTGTGGTTCGGTCCGGGGGTTCGGTAGGGAGTCGAGAGAGGTGCGGGTGAAATCTTGAACCGCTTCCCTAACTCCTCTGCGTACTTAGCTGCTGACAGATGAATGGCTTCAGGCGCGTAGGAGATGTTGAGGCCTAGGAACTGCTTCACCTCGTAGTTGCACGTGATGTCGACGCGCCCCGCCAAAGCCTTCTCGAACTGTTCGAGCAGCTCGTTGTTTGAGTTCGTGTAGAGCAAGTCGTCGACGTAGACCGTGAGGAGGATGTATTCCCCGCGGAAATCGCGGCGGTACATCCCTAGGTCGTGGGGCATCTGCTTGAACCCGATTTCAAGCAGGATGTTGTG